ACCTTTCTTAAAACTCCCCTCTGTATCGTTTCGCCAATTTAGAACCATTTCTGAATTGTGTCTTCAGCTCTGAGGTGGCAAAGGTGATGGATGAGTGGGTCCTGGGGCTTGGCCCGCCAGCATAAAGCAGTGGCACGGCCAGCCTCACCAGGAGGACCAGGAAGCCCGGAATCCCTCCCCCTGCCCAGTCACGAAACGGGCAATGCCCCCGGGCGGACCCCGTGTGAACTCAGGGCCCATGTGCAGCCTCCTCCGGCTTCCCCCGCTCGACACAGAACGCCAAGGCACAGGACGTCAGGGTTAATACACAGCTTTATTTGCCTTTGACAGCGTCAAATTTTCTTACATTCTTAATTAGGTTGCCATTAAAGTGCGGGAAAATTTCTTAAACATGATAACAGTTGTTACAAGAAATCAGAACTAATCAGGAAAATGGTGGCCACGAAGGGAACGTTTCTCTTCCAACACACAGAATTGGAAGCCCCTGGTGTTTGGCTCGTGGGTCGGCCCATTGGCACACAGTTCCTAGCTCCCTCTGACTGAAGCCCCCCACTGGCTGGGACCACCACCCCTGGGGGAAAAGCGCTGCTGAAGAGAATTCTAAAACAACACCCACACACCCGGCCTGCCGCCTCCTCTCGGCCCCCTGGGTGTCTGCTGTTCGAGTAGATCCGATTTTAGGAGAAAACAGAGGTCTGGCCCCCCCTCTACTGCCTTCCTACCCCACCCCCACCCCCCTTGCTAACAAAAGCCCCCCAAAGTCCTCCTTGCAATGAAAAAGTGGGTTTCCATTTCCCCAACGCTAACAATGTTCAGTAAAAATGAGGATAATAAACACAAAAGCTTGCATAGTAAACAGGAGCTCTCAGCGTACAATGCAACAACAGCAACAGCACTGAAACCCTCAGGCGGGCACTGCGACTCTGCGTGTGGGCTGGCGGAGCGCGGAGCTCTTGACCTATCTGGGAGGCTCCGGGAGCTTAAGGGCGGCCGGCAAGTCGGCACCTGCCGCCAGCAGAGGCCAGGTCTTCGCACGGCTGCTGAGGCTGTCGGCGTGTTTCTCTTGGGAGGTTATATACAAACACACCCGAAGCTGATGGATCTTTTTATACATCTATGTACACGGAGGCCTGCTACTCTTTCTTTGTGGAAACCACCACCTCCACCTCGGGAAGCTGGATGCCAACCTTCGTCCCACTGTCGTTGCTGGAAGAAGAGGACAGCCGGGACTTCTTGGAGGCCAAGGACACTCCACTCCCCTGTACCTTGCCTGCCTCGTCATCACTTCCAGTCACCTCATAATGACCTTTGCTCTTTGACCCTAATCCACCAAAGGTACCAAATTTCAGCTTCCCATGCTTCCCTTTGACTTTTTCACCTTCCAGCAACACTTCCCCACCTTCGAACTCCAAAGTCCCGGTCGGGGTGGACGGTGCAGAGAACTCCCTTTCGTCGCTGAAGGAATTGGAGCGGTGCTGCGGCTTCTTACTTTTAAACAAGGAGAACTTGGCTTTGGGCGAAGATGCTTCAGCCTCCACTTCTCCCTCCAAGGAGCCTAGGCTGACCTTCGAGCTCTTCAGGTCCCCTTTGGACCCTGAGATGGACGCCTCTGGCGAGCCCGTGACGCCGCCTTTCCCTTTAGTTTTGGAAAAATTGAACTTGGGCATTTTGATTTTGGACTTTTTAAGTTTTACATCGGACTCCTCCCACTCGCACTCCACGGCACCGGGCTGGACACTGGCCTCTGCTTTGGGGAAATTGATATCCACCCCCACTTCTCTGCCAACCAGCTCACGGCCAGAGAAGGTGAATTTGGGGATCTTCATCTTCGGGAATGTTACTTTTCCAGATCTGCTTTCCAAGTGACCTTGAGGCCCAGACACACTCAGCCCAGGACCCTGGAGTCCAATCTGGCCTTTCACACCTCCTCCTGCTTTTGGTCCTGAGAAATGAAGTCCTCCAGCCTCCAAGTTGAGAGCAGAGGAGACCTGGGGTCCTTTCCACTCAACCCCGGAACCTTTGACACTCATATGCCCTTCCCCCAGGCTGAGATCTGGGGCACTGACACCCCCTGAAACGTCCACACCTCCTTTGATTTTCGGGCCCTTCAAGCCAATACCAAAGTCGGACCCTGGAGATGCCGTATGAAGTGAAGGCCCTTTCACACTAATGTCGGGAGCGGCCCCGTGGACACCTATTCCTGGCAGGCTGCCTTTGATTTCAGGGCCGGAAATTTGCCCGGTGGGGAGTTTCACATTCACCCCTTGCAGCTCCATGTCACATGAAGAGGCCTTAATTCCGGGCATCTGGAGGTTCCCTTCTAGGCCTTGAACACCGACGCCTGGAAGACCTCCTCCAAAAGAGGGGCCTTTGAACTCACCGATGCCCCCAAGGCCCCCTTTTACTTTTGGTCCTTCCAAGTTCAAGTCCACATCCGGCGCTGAGATCTGAGGGCCAGAGATCTGAGGCCCTTTCAAGTTCAGTCCTCCGAGGTTCATGTCCACACCCGGCCCCTTTAGATCTCCAGTGACCTGTGGCCCCTTGACGCTAACGTCCAAGTCGGACCCCGGACAGGAGATGCCGAACTGGGGCAGCTTCATGTGGGGAAGCTTAAAACCACCTTCAGGGGTCTCCAAGCTTAGGTCAGGGGCACCTACTGATACTTTAGGGCATTTAATGTCACCAGAGACGGCCAGGTCTCCCTTCACACTTGGTCCTTTCAAGTTCAGGTCCAGGTCAGGTCCGGAGATTTTTGGCATCGAGAGGTTCCCTGAAGGCAAGTCTACTTTTGGCCCCTTCAGAGACAGGTCGGGCCCTGAAAGTTTAACCTGCGGTGAGCTCACGCCTCCTTCAAGCGAGGGCAGCTGGGCATGGGCCTCGGCCACCCCGCCCTCCACTTTCACACCAGGGACGCCGATCTTGGGCATCGAGAACTTGGGGAACTTGATTTTCGATTCTGGACCTTGCAGATCGATGTCTGGCCCTTCCAGTCCCACACCGGGGACATCGCCCTTCACCTTTGGTCCTTTCAAGCCAACATTCACATCAGGGGTGGCGACTTGAGGGGCCGAAACGTTGAATGATGGCGCCTTGACCTTAGCATCTGGGCCCTCGATGTTGATATCAGGCGCATCCAAGTTTGCCTGCACCCTGGGGCCTTTCAAGCTGCCCTCCATCTTGGGCCCTGACACATCCACACCCGGCACCTTCAGCTTGATGTCAGGACCTTCCACATTCAGCCCTGGTGAAGACATATCCAGCTCACGGACCTGGATTTCACCCTCCACTTTGGGGGCCTCCGCTTTAAATTTGGGCGATTTAATGTCAAATTCTACATCCGGGAAGTACATTTTTCCAAACATACTTTTCTTGGTTCTTGGAGATTTCGCGTCGACTTTAAGTGCGGCGTCTGGCCCGGTCACGCTGACGTCTACATCAGGAGCCTTCAAACTGGCGTCGATCTCGCCCCCGGGAACATTCAAATCAAAGCCTTGTTTCTTGGTTTTAATTTTAGGGCCACTCATGTGGATTTTAGGCATTTTAAATTTACTTTTCTTGCCCTTGCCACCAACACTGATGTCAGGAGTCTCAACGTTCAGCTCTGCCTCAGGAACAGTCACATCAACCGAAGGTGACTTCAGGTCAGCTTTGGGGCCTTTTGCCCCAAATCCAAACTTGGGTTTCTTCAATTTGGGGACTTTAACATCTGGTCCCTCAATGTTCACATCTGGGCTCTCCAGGTGCATGTCTAAGTTTGGAGTGTCTAGATCGACATTAGGCCCCTTCAGGTCCAGTTCTCCGCCTTCTAATTTGGGACCAGAAATTCCAATTTTGGGTGCCTTGAGGTGCAAATCGACATCAGGAACAGTTACTTTGGGGGCAGATATATCCAGTGATGGCATCTTCAAATGCGGGCCGCTGAGTTTGGCATCAGGGCCTTCAAAATCCAAACCTGGACCCTTAAGGTCTACTTCTGGGCCTTGGAAATTACCTTTCATCTTAGGGACAGACACATCAAAGTCTCCTTTGACTTTGGGTCCTTTCAAATCTAGATCAACATCAGGCATGGAGATTTTGGGAGCTTTGATATTAATCTCAGGCATCTTGAACTTGGGACCCTTCAGTTTCGCATCAGGACCTTCGATATTCACATCTGCAACATCAATGCCCACCTTGGGTCCTGAGACATCAATGTCAGCTTTGGGCAAGTTCACATCTATTTCTGGGCCCTCTCCTTTGAAGCCAGGCATGCTGAACTTGGGCATCTTCACCTTGGGCATCTTCAGGTGCCAGTCTGGGCCATGAACGTCCACATCAGGAGCATCAATGTCCACTTTGGGCCCTTTGATGTCAATTCCAGGGCCCTTGAGGTCACCTTCCACCTTAGGCAGGGAAACATCCACATCGCCCTTTACTTTGGGACCTTTCAGGTTTAAGTCAATGTCAGGCATGGAGATCTTAGGAGCTTTGATGTTCATCTCGGGCATCTTGAACTTGGGGCCCTTCAGTTTTGCATCTGGACCTTCGATATTCACATCTGGAACATCAATGTCCACCTTGGGTCCTGAGACACCAATGTCAGCCTTGGGCAGGTTCACATCCACATCAGGGCCTTCTCCTTTGAAGCCTGGCATGCTGAACTTGGGCATTTTCACCTTGGGCATCTTCAGGTGCCAGTCCGGGACCATGAACATCCACATCTGGGACATCGATGTCCACTTTAGGGCCCTTGATGTCAATTCCAGGGCCCTTGAGGTCACCTTCCACTTTGGGCAGAGACACATCCACATCTCCCTTCACTTTGGGGCCCTTCAGATTCAGGTCAACCTCAGGCATGGAGATCTTGGGTGCTTTGAGGTGCAGGTCAGGCATCTTGAACTTGGGACCCTTCAGTTTTGCATCTGGACCTTCGATATTCACATCTGGAACATCAATGTCCACCTTGGGTCCTGAGACACCAATGTCAGCCTTGGGCAGGTTCACATCCACATCAGGGCCTTCTCCTTTGAAGCCTGGCATGCTGAACTTGGGCATTTTCACCTTGGGCATCTTCAGGTGCCAGTCCGGGCCATGAACATCCACATCCGGGACATCGATGTCCACTTTAGGGCCCTTGATGTCAACTTCAGGGCCCTTGAGGTCACCTTCCACTTTGGGCAGAGACACATCCACATCTCCCTTCACTTTTGGGGCCCTTCAGATTCAGGTCAACCTCAGGCATGGAGATCTTGGGTGCTTTGAGGTGCAGGTCAGGCATTTTAAACTTGGGGCCCTTCAGTTTCCCTTCTGGGCCATGAATGTCAATGTCAGGAGTGTCTATGTCCAGCTTAGGGCCTTTAACATCCACTTTGGGGCCTTTCAGATCTCCTTCTAGTTTAGGAACAGAAATGTCCAAATCTCCTTTTACCTTTGGTCCTTTCAAGTTCAAATCAATGTCACTCATGGAGATTTGTGGGGTTTTGAAATGCACATCAGGCATCTTAAATTTAGGTCCTTTGAGTTTCCCTTCAGGACCCTCAATGTCCATCTCTGGCCCTTTCAGATCACCTTCCACCTTAGGCAGTGAAAGGTCCACATCACCCTTTGCCTTTGGCCCTTTCAGGTTTAAGTCAAAGTCAGGCATGGAGATCTTGGGGGCTTTAATGTGCATCTCTGGCATCTTAAACTTGGGCCCCTTCAGTTTTCCTTCTGGACCTTCAATATTGATATCAGGAGTATCAATGTCCAATTTGGGGCCCTTGATGTCCACCTCAGGGCCTTTGAGGTCACCTTCCACTTTAGGCAGAGAGACATCCACATTACCCTTCACTTTGGGGCCCTTCAAGTTTAAGTCAAGGTCAGGCATGGAGATTTTGGGAGCTTTGATGTTCATCTCAGGCATCTTGAACTTGGGACCCTTCAGTTTCGCATCTGGACCTTCGATATTCACATCTGGAACATCAATGCCCACCTTGGGTCCTGAGACATCAATGTCAGCTTTGGGCAAGTTCACATCTATTTCTGGGCCCTCTCCTTTGAAGCCAGGCATGCTGAACTTGGGCATCTTCACCTTGGGCATCTTCAGGTGCCAGTCTGGGCCATGAACGTCCACATCAGGAGCATCAATGTCCACTTTGGGCCCTTTGATGTCAATTCCAGGGCCCTTGAGGTCACCTTCCACCTTAGGCAGGGAAACATCCACATCGCCCTTTACTTTGGGACCTTTCAGGTTTAAGTCAATGTCAGGCATGGAGATCTTAGGAGCTTTGATGTTCATCTCGGGCATCTTGAACTTGGGGCCCTTCAGTTTTGCATCTGGACCTTCGATATTCACATCTGGAACATCAATGTCCACCTTGGGTCCTGAGACACCAATGTCAGCCTTGGGCAGGTCCACATCCACATCAGGGCCTTCTCCTTTGAAGCCTGGCATGCTGAACTTGGGCATTTTCACCTTGGGCATCTTCAGGTGCCAGTCCGGGCCATGAACATCCACATCTGGGACATCGATGTCCACTTTAGGGCCCTTGATGTCAACTTCAGGGCCCTTGAGGTCACCTTCCACTTTGGGCAGAGACACATCCACATCTCCCTTCACTTTGGGGCCCTTCAGATTCAGGTCAACCTCAGGCATGGAGATCTTGGGTGCTTTGAGGTGCAGGTCAGGCATTTTAAACTTGGGGCCCTTCAGTTTCCCTTCTGGGCCATGAATGTCAATGTCAGGAGTGTCTATGTCCACCTTGGGTCCTGAGATGTCAATGTCAGCCTTGGGGAGGTTCACATCCACCTCAGGGCCTTCTCCTTTGAAGCCAGGCATGCTGAACTTGGGCATTTTTATCTTAGGCATCTTCAGGTGCCAATCTGGGCCTTGAACATCCACATCTGGTGCATCAATGTCCACTTTGGGGGCTTTGATATCCACTTCAGGGCCTTTCAGGTCACCTTCCACCTTAGGCAGGGAAACATCCACATCTCCTTTGACCTTAGGACCTTTCAGATGCAAATCAAAGTCAGGCATGGAGATCTTGGGGGCTTTGATGTTCATCTCGGGCATCTTGAATTTAGGACCTTTCAGTTTTCCTTCTGGCCCTTCAATGTTCACATCAGGGCCTTCAATGTCCACTTTGGGTCCTGAGACATCAATGTCGGCCTTGGGCAGGTTCACATCCACATCAGGGCCCTCTCCTTTGAAGCCAGGCATGCTGATCTTTGGCATTTTTATCTTGGGCATCTTCAGGTGCCAGTCTGGGCCTTGGACATCCACATCTGGTGCATCAATGTCCACTTTGGGGCCTTTGATGTCGAATTCAGGGCCTTTCAGGTCACCTTCAACCTTAGGCAGGGAAACATCCACATCACCCTTTACTTTGGGGCCTTTCAGGTTTAAATCAATGTCAGGCATGGAGATCTTGGGAGCCTTTATGTGCATTTCTGGCATCTTAAATTTGGGTCCTTTCAGTTTCCCCTCTGGGCCTTCAATGTTAATATCAGGGGTGTCAATGTCCACTTTGGGGCCCTTGATGTCCACCTCAGGGCCTTTGAGGTCACCTTCCACTTTTGGCAAAGACACATCCACATCTCCCTTCATTTTGGGGCCCTTCAGGTTCAAATCAAAATCAGGCATGGAGATCTTGGGAGCTTTGATGTTCATCTCGGGCATCTTGAACTTGGGGCCCTTCAGTTTTGCATCTGGACCTTCGATATTCACATCTGGAACATCAATGTCCACCTTGGGTCCAGTAACATCGATGTCAGCCTTGGGCAGGTTCACATCCACATCAGGGCCCTCTCCTTTGAAGCCAGGCATGCTGAACTTGGGCATTTTCATCTTGGGCATCTTCAGGTGCCAGTCTGGGCCATGAACATCCACATCTGGGACATCGACGCCCACTTTGGGCCCTTTGATGTCAACCCCTGACAATTTTAGATCTCCTTCTACTTTGGGCAGAGAAACATCCACATCACCTTTTACTTTGGGGCCCTTCAGGTTTAAGTCAATGTCAGGCATGGAGAGCTTGGGAGCTTTGATATTCACGTCAGGCATCTTGATTTTGGGACCTTTTAAGCCTCCTTCTAGACCTTCCACATTGACTTCTGGGCCCTCGATGTCCATTTTAGGAGCCTCCATGTGGATATCTCCTTTTGGTAGATCCACAGCCACATCCGGCCCTTCTGCTTTCAAGCCAGGCACACCAAATTTGGGCATTTTCATCTTGGGCATTTTCAAATTCCACTCTGGGCCATGTACATCCACATCAGGTGCATCAAGATGAACTTCTGGTGCCTTAAGATCCACCTGTGGTCCTTTCAAGTCACCTTCTAAGTTGGGACCTGTAACATCTAAGTCTCCTTTGACTTTAGGACCTTTCAGATTTAACTCCACATCAGGCATAGAAACTTTAGGAGATGAAATACTCAAAAAAGGCATTTTGAACTTGGACCCTTTTACTTTTCCTTGGACCTCAACATCAGGAGCATTGATATCAACTTTGGGGCCTGTTACATCGATATCTGGCTTTTTAACTTTGACATCCACCTCGGGTGTCTGAACTTTGGAGCCCGAAAAATTAAATTTGGGAAGCTTAAAACGAGATTTCTTTGCTTTGCCTTCAACATTAAGCTTAGGACCAGAAATGTCCACTTCTGGGCCCTTTACGTCCAACTTGGGAGCTTTAATGTCACCTTCCAACTTGGGCCCAGAAACATCCACATCTCCCTTAAGCTTCGAGCCTTTCAAATTCAAGTCAATTTCTGGCATGGAGATCTTGGGCATGTTTACATGCATGTCAGGCATCTTCAGTTTGGGGCCTTTTAATTTGCCTTCTGGGCCATGAATGTCAACCTCTGGAGCATCCAAATCTATCTTCGGGCCCTTGATGTCAATACTAGGCCCCTTCAAATCACCTTCAACAGTTGGAAGTGAAACATCGACCTCTCCTTTCATTTTAGGGCCTTTTAGATTGAGATCTAAATCTGGCATTGATATCTTAGGAGCTTTGATGTTCATCTCGGGCATCTTGAACTTGGGGCCCTTCAGTTTTGCATCTGGACCTTCGATATTCACATCTGGAACATCAATGTCCACCTTGGGTCCTGAGACATCAATATCGCCTTTGGGCAGGTTCACATCCACCTCAGGGCCTTCTCCTTTGAAGCCAGGCATGCTGAACTTGGGCATTTTCATTTTGGGCATCTTCAGGTGCCAGTCCGGGCCATGAACATCCACATCTGGGACATCGATGTCCACTTTAGGGCCTTTGATGTCAACTTCAGGAACTTTAATGTCACCTTCCACTTTTGGTAAAGACACATCCACATCTCCCTTCACTTTGGGGCCTTTCAGGTTAAGATCAATGTCAGGCATGGAGATCTTAGGAGCTTTGATGTTCATCTCGGGCATCTTGAACTTGGGACCCTTCAGTTTTGCATCTGGACCTTCAATATTCACATCTGGAACATCAATGTCCACCTTGGGTCCTGAGACACCAATGTCAGCCTTGGGCAGGTTCACATCCACATCAGGGCCTTCTCCTTTGAAGCCTGGCATGCTGAACTTGGGCATTTTCACCTTGGGCATCTTCAGGTGCCAGTCCGGGCCATGAACATCCACATCTGGGACATCGACGCCCACTTTGGGGCCTTTGATGTCAACTTCAGGACCTTTCAGGTCACCTTCCACCTTAGGGAGGGAAACATCCACATCACCTTTTACTTTTGGGCCTTTCAGATGCAAATCAAAGTCAGGCATGGAGATCTTGGGGGCTTTGATGTTCATCTCAGGCATCTTGAATTTAGGACCTTTCAACTTTCCTTCTGGCCCTTCAATGTTCACATCAGGGCCCTCAATGTCCACCTTTGGTCCGGTAACATCAATATCGGCCTTGGGCAGGTTCACATCCACTTCTGGGCCCTCTCCTTTGAAGCCAGGCATGCTGAACTTGGGCATTTTCATCTTAGGCATCTTCAGGTGCCAGTCTGGTCCATGAACGTCCACATCTGGGACATCGATGTCCACTTTGGGGCCCTTGAGGTCAACTTCAGGGCCTTTCAGATCTCCTTCTACCTTGGGACCTGTGACTTCCATGCCTCCTTTCATTTTTGGACCTGTTAGATTAAGATCAATATCTGGCATGGATATCTTTGGAGTCTTAAAATGCATTTCAGGCATCTTAAACTTTGGACTTTTCCACTTCCCTTCAGGTCCTTCAATATTCACATCAGGACCTTCAATGTCCACTTTGGGTCCTGAGACGTCAATGTCAGCCTTGGGCAGGTTCACATCCACATCAGGGCCTTCTCCTTTGAAGCCTGGCATGCTGAACTTGGGCATTTTCACCTTGGGCATCTTCAGATGCCAGTCTGGGCCATGAACATCCACATCTGGTGCATCAATGTCCACTTTGGGGCCCTTGATGTCAACCTCAGGACCTTCAACTTTAGGCAGAGAAACATCCACATCACCCTTTACTTTTGGGCCTTTCAGATGCAAATCAAAGTCAGGCATGGAGATCTTAGGGGCTTTGATGTTCATCTCAGGCATCTTGAATTTAGGACCTTTCAGTTTTCCTTCTGGCCCTTCAATGTTCACATCAGGGCCTTCAATGTCCACTTTGGGTCCTGAGACATCAATGTCGGCCTTGGGCAGGTTCACATCCACTTCTGGGCCCTCTCCTTTGAAGCCAGGCATGCTGAACTTTGGCATTTTCATCTTGGGCATCTTCAGGTGCCAGTCTGGGCCATGAACTTCAGGAGCACTTATGTCTACTTTGGGGCCCTTGATGTTCACATCTGGTACTTGACCTTCTACCTTGGGCACAGACACATCAACATCCCCCTTGATTTTAGGTCCTTTCAGATTCAGGTCCACATCAGGCATAGAAATATTTGGGGCTTTGAAATGCATGTCAGGCATCTTGAACTTGGGGCCTTTCAATTTGCCTTCTGGTCCTTCAATGTCGATATCTGGCCCACTGATGTCACCTTTGAGGTCACCTTCCAATTTGGGAACATCTACATCCACCTCTCCTTTGACCTTAGGGCTTTTTAAGTGTAGATTGAGGTCTGGCATGGAGATTTTGGGAGCTTTAAAATGCATGTCTGGCATCTTAAATTTAGGACTTTTCCATTTGCCATCTGGGCCTTCCACAGCTACATCTGGCACTTCAACATCCAATTTGGGGCCCTTGACATCCAATTCTGGACCCTTGAACTCTCCTTCCATCTTTGGGGCAGAAACATCCAAGTCTCCTTTCATTTTAGGCCCCTTTAAGTTGAAGTCAACATCAGGCATGGAGATTTTGGGAGCATGAAAGTGCATCTCTGGCATCTTGAACTTCGGGCCTTTCAGTTTTCCTTCTGGGCCTTCAAGGCTCACATCTGGGGCTTCAATGTCAACCTTGGGTCCAGAGATGTCAATGTCAGCCTTGGGCAGGTTCACATCCACTTCTGGGCCCTCTCCTTTGAAGCCAGGCATGCTGAACTTGGGCATTTTCACCTTGGGCATCTTCAGGTGCCAGTCTGGGCCGTGAACATCCACATCTGGGACATCAATGTCCACTTTGGGCCCTTTGATGTCCACATCTGGCACTTTCATTTCACCTTCTATCTTGGGCACAGACACATCCACATCCCCTTTGACTTTGGGGCCTTTCAAGTGTACATCAGGCATGGAGATCTTTGGGGTCTTGAAGTGCATCTCAGGCATCTTAAACTTGGGACCTTTCAACTTTGCATCAGGACATTCCAGATCGACGTCAGGCAACTCCACGTCCACGCTGGGGCCCTTCAAGTCTCCCTCCAATTTTGGCACCGACACATCCACATCCCCTTTGACTTTGGGGCCTTTCAAGTGTAAGTCTACATCAGGCATGGAGATCTTGGGGGTCTTGAAGTGCATCTCTGGCATCTTGAACTTGGGACCCTTCAGCTTCCCTTCTGGTCCTTCAAAGCTTACATCTGGGGCTTCAATGTCAACCTTGGGTCCAGAGATGTCAATGTCAGCCTTGGGCAGGTTCACATCCACTTCTGGGCCCTCTGCTTTGAAGCCAGGCATGCTGAACTTGGGCATTTTCATCTTGGGCATCTTCAGGTGCCAGTCTGGGCCGTGCACGTCCACGTCTGGGACATCAATGTCCACTTTGGGCCCTTTGATGTCCACATCTGGCACTTTCATTTCACCTTCTATCTTGGGCACAGACACATCCACATCCCCTTTGACTTTGGGGCCTTTCAAGTGTAAGTCTACATCAGGCATGGAGATCTTGGGGGTCTTGAAGTGCATCTCAGGCATCTTAAACTTGGGACCCTTCAACTTTGCATCAGGACATTCTAGATCGACGTCAGGCAACTCCACGTCCACGCTGGGGCCCTTCAAATCTCCCTCCAATTTTGGCACCGACACATCCACATCCCCTTTGACTTTGGGGCCTTTCAAGTGTACATCAGGCATGGAGATCTTGGGGGTCTTGAAGTGCATCTCAGGCATCTTAAACTTGGGACCCTTCAACTTTGCATCAGGACATTCCAGATCGACATCAGGCACCTCCACATCCACACTGGGACCTTTGATATCAACTTGTGGACCTCTGATATCCCCTTCTAGTTCTGGCATAGAAGCATCTATCTCGCCTTTCAGTTTGGGTCCCTTCAAATTCAAGTCCACATCTGGCATGGATATCTTGGAAGTTTTGATATTCAATTTAGGCATCTTAAATTTAGAGCCTTTCAATTTTCCTTCTGGTCCCTCAATATCCAAATCAGGAGCATCAATGTCCACTTTGGGGCCAGAAACACTAATGTCGGCCTTTGGCAAGTTCACATCCACTTCTGGGCCCTCTCCTTTGAAGCCAGGCATGCTGAACTTGGGCATTTTCACCTTGGGCATCTTCAGGTGCCAGTCTGGGCCGTGAACGTCCACATCTGGGACATCAACGTCCACTTTGGGGCCTTTGATGTCCACATCTGGCACTTTCATTTCACCTTCTATCTTGGGCACTGACACATCCACATCCCCTTTGACTTTGGGGCCTTTCAAGTGTACATCAGGCATGGAGATCTTGGGAGTCTTGAAGTGCATCTCAGGCATCTTAAATTTAGGGCCTTTTATCTTTCCTTCAGGACATTCAATATCAATATCACCAACATCCACATCCACCTGAGGAGCTTTCACATCTACTTCAGGCAATTTTAGGTCTCCTTCCACTTTAGGAAGGGAAACATCCACATCAGTCTTCAGTTTAGGGCCTTTCAGATTAAGTCCAACATCAGGCATAGAAATTTTGTGTGTCTGTATACTCATGCTTGGCATTTTGAACTTGGGACCCTTTAGCTTCCCCTCTGGACCTTCAAGAGTCACCTCTGGGGCACTGATGTCTGCCTTGGGTCCAGAGACACTAATGTCAGCCTTGGGAAGGTTCACATCCACTTCTGGGCCTTCTCCTTTGAAGCCAGGCATGCTGAACTTGGGCATTTTCACTTTGGGCATCTTCAGGTGCCAGTCTGGGCCATGAACTCCCACATCTGGTGCATTGATATCCACTTTGGGCCCTTTCATGTCAACATCAGGAGCTTTTATCTCTCCTTCTACTTTTGGTACTGTAACATCAAAATCTCCTTTCATTTTAGGACCTTTCAAATGCAAACCAACATCTGGCATGTTTATCTTCTGAGGCTTTATGTTCATTTCTGGCATCTTAAATTTAGGACCCTTTAGTTTTGCATCTGGACCTTCAATGTTCACATCTGGAACTTCCACTTCCACCTTGGGTCCTGAGACATCAATGTCAGCCTTGGGCAGGTTCACATCCACCTCAGGGCCTTCTCCTTTGAAGCCAGGCATGCTGAACTTGGGCATTTTCATCTTGGGCATCTTCAGGTGCCAGTCTGGGCCGTGAACGTCCACATCTGGGGCACTGACATCAACCTTGGGTCCTTTGAGATTGACATCTGGCACTTTTATTTCACCTTCTACATCAGGCAAAGACACATCTGCATCTCCCTTCAGTTTTGGTCCCTTAAGATTCAGGTTCACATCAGGCATGGAGATCTTGGGAGCCTTGAAGTGCATCTCTGGCATCTTGAACTTGGGACCCTTCAGCTTCCCATCTGGTCCCTCCAGGCTCACATCTGGGGCTTCAATGTCAACCTTGGGTCCAGAGATGTCAATGTCGGCCTTGGGCAGGTTCACATCCACTTCTGGGCCCTCTCCTTTGAAGCCAGGCATGCTGAACTTGGGCATTTTCATCTTGGGCATCTTCAAGTTCCAGTCTGGGCCGTGAACATCCACATCTGGGACATCAATGTCCACTTTGGGGCCTTTGATGTCCACATCTGGCACTTTCATTTCACCTTCTATCTTGGGCACAGACACATCCACATCCCCTTTGACTTTGGGGCCTTTCAAGTGTACATCAGGCATGGAGATCTTGGGAGCCTTGAAGTGCATCTCAGGCATCTTGAACTTGGGACCCTTCAGCTTCCCATCTGGTCCCTCCAGGCTCACATCTGGGGCTTCAATGTCAACCTTGGGTCCAGAGATGTCAATGTCGGCCTTGGGCAGGTTCACATCCACTTCTGGGCCTTCTCCTTTGAAGCCAGGCATGCTGAACTTGGGCATTTTCATCTTGGGCATCTTCAGGCCCCAGTCTCCACCTTGTACGTCCACATCTGGTGCTTTCACATCTACCTTGGGGCCTTTGATTTCCACGTCTGGAACTTTCACCTCGCCTTCTATTTTTGGTGCAGACATATCTAAATTTCCTTTCATTTTGGGTCCTTTAAGATCGAGGTCAACATCAGGCAGAGTCATCTTAGGAGCTTTGAAGTGCATTTCAGGCATCTTAAACTTGGGGCCTTTCAACTTCCCTTCAGGTCCTTCAAGGCTCAGATCTGGAGCACTGACATCTACCTTGGGTGCAGAAAGGTCCACATCAGGCTTGGGCAGATTCACATCCAGTTCCGGGCCCTCTCCTTTGAGACTAGGCATGGTGAATTTGGGCATTTTCATCTTGGGCATCTTTAGGTTCCAATCAGGACCATGAACTTCAACATCTGGGGCACCGACATCTACTTTTGGCCCTTTCAGGTCACCTTCCAGCTTTGGCACTGTGACATCATATTCTCCCTTTACTTTAGGACCTTTCATATGCAAATCCACATCAGGCATGGAGATCTTTGGGGCCTTGATGTTCATCTCAGGCATCTTGAACTTGGGACCCTTCAGCTTTCCTTCTGGTCCTTCAATGCTCACATCTGGAACTTCAACATCAACCTTGGGTCCTGAGATGTCAATGTCGGCCTTGGGCAGGTTCACATCCACTTCTGGGCCCTCTGCTTTGAAGCCAGGCATGCTGAACTTGGGCATTTTCATCTTGGGCATCTTCAGGTGCCAGTCTGGGCCGTGCACGTCCACATCCGGGGCATCGATGTCCACTTTGGCACTTTTGAGTTCAACATCGGGAACTTTAATCTCACCTTCAATCTTTGGTGTTGTGACATCATATTCTCCTTTTACACTAGGGCCTTTCAAATGTACATCAGGCATGGAGATCTTTGGGGCTTTGATGTTCATCTCAGGCATCTTGAACTTGGGTCCTTTCAATTTTCCTTCTGGTCCCTCAATTCTCACGTCGGGAGCACTAACATCTACCTTGGGCCCAGAAATGCCCACATCAGGCTTGGGCAGGTTCACGTCCACATCTGGGCCCTCTGCCTTGAGCCCTGGCACGCTGAACTTGGGCATTTTCATCTTGGGCATCTTCAGATGCCAGTCAGGGCCGTGAACATCCACATCTGGAGCGTTAATGTTCACCTGGGGGCCTTTCAGTTCCCCTTCGAGTTTTGGTGCTGTGACATCATACTCTCCTTTTATCTTGGTGCCTTTGACATGTAGCTCTACGTCAGGCATGGAGATCTTGGGTGTCTTGGCACTCACTTCAGGCAACTGAACATCAGGGCCTTTGAGTTCACCCCTCAGGCCTCCTATGTTGACGTCTGGGGCTTCCACGTTGACCTTGGGCCCTGTAATACTGGCATGTCCTTTGGGCAGATTCACATCTACGTCGGGACCTTCCCCTTTGACTCCGGGAGTGCTGAACTTGGGCATCTTCATCTTGGGCATTTTCAGGTTCCACTCTGGGCCATGAAGGTCCACATCTGGGGCACTGACGTCCACTTTGGGGCCTTTGACATTGACTTCAGGGACTTTGACTTTCCCTTCTACTTTCGGGAGTGTGACATCTGCACTCCCTTTCACTCGAGGTGCACCCACAGTTAGGTCTACATCTGCCATAGAGATACTGCAGGTTCCGACTTTCCCAGGAGAACCACTCAGCCTGGGTCCTGCCAGGGTGCCCTCTAGGCTGGGTGTCTCTATGTCCACTTTGGAGCCTTTAACTGCCACTTGAGGGCCCTTAACATCACCTTGCACCTCCTGAGTGGAAACTTTAATATCTCCTTTCAGTTTGGAGGACCCAAGGGTCAGATCCACCTCCTGCAAGGAGATTTTAGGTTTCTGAATAATCATTTCAGGATTCTTGACTTTAGTACCCTTTACCTTCCCTTCCAGCCCCCCAGTAGCAACCTTAGGCGGGCTGACATGCCCAGAGACCCCAGGAAGAGCCGCTTCACCTGTGGGTAATGTCACATCAACTCCAGCTCCTTCTCCCTTAGAACCCGAGGCGGAGAATTTGGGGACTTTCATCTTGGGCATATTTAGTTTGCCTCCAGGCCCCTGGCTATCAACATCAGGGCCTTGAACTTCCACACTGGGGCCAGTGATGCTGCCCTTGACTTTTGGAGCAGAGATGTTCATCCCTATACTCCCCTGTGGCTTGGCACCTTTCAGGCTTAGGTCTCCCTCAAGTGATGGTCCGGTAATCTGGGGGCCCTTCAGCTTCCCCTCAACATTGGCACAGGGAGCACTGGCTTCTAGCTGCGGGGTTTGGATGTTCCCACCCACGGTCACGCCTGGCTTGCTGCTCTCGTGCCCCACAGAGAATTCAGGTGCAGAAACACTAAACCCTGTCTCTGGTGCCTGGCCCTCAGGCCTTCCGGAGATACCAAATTTTGGCACCTTCACGGTGGGCATTTTAATTTTTCCATTATTGTCATACTCAAGAGATGGGCCCTGTACCTCTACCGCCCCACCCCTAAAAGCAGATGAAATGCCCACTCCAGGAACGTGGCCTCCCGCTTTGCCACCCAAGTCTAAGCCCTTTGCACCAACATTGATGTCTGAGCTTCCCACCTTTACACCAGGCACGGTGACCTGGAGTTTCGAGTGACTGGCACCTTGGAGCTCCGGTCCAGAAGTGACCATGGAACCTGCTTGAATGTCCACAGCAGGGCCCGTGGCTGAAGACACTTCCCCCAGGCCCGAGGGCAGCCTGATCACGGTCTTCCCAGGCTGGCTGTGCACATCCACAGTGGAGATTTCGGTCAGTTCGTGCCGTGGAATCTTGATCTTGAACTCAGGGCTGCTGATGTCGATGTCCTTGGCTCCTTCCCGGCCCGTCACATCCACAGTGTAGGCTGTGACCCTTCTAGTCACCGTGATGGTGCGACTCTGGGTCTCCCCTTCCACACCGTCCTCCGACTTCAGCCGAGGCTTGATCTTTGTGTCATAGATGCGCTGGTACTCCTCATCATCCCCGCTCTGCAGAGAGACACGCCCAGCAGAGGTTGCAGCAGAGTCTGCCTGAGTCGCAGACGCCGGCCGCAGCCCAGCCTGCTTCCCAGAGAAGCTGGGGCCATAACGGCAGTCCGAGGAGCCTCCCCGGGCAGAGCACAGAGGGCTGGCGAGAGGGGCTGACAACCACATCGCAGGAGGAAGACAGAGATTACTTGGGGAAACTCAAGGAAGCAAAAGCCTTGGGGGAGAGGAAGGGCGTGGACCCCTGGATGGCACAGTGTGGGAGAAGGATTCACCATCGGATTCTAGACTCAAATCGCCAGTCAGGTACGGGGATGCCTCCGGGCGACCAGCTCTGTCTGCACCAACTTGACCCTGAGGCTCACAACTCCCGACTCCCTGGCGCGTGATCATTGAAGTGGGGAGCCCTGGAAAGCCGGGGTGAGAGCGGCCGTGCCTGGGCGAACGCTTTCCCTGTGAGCCCCAGTATGTGTTACAGAAAGAAGCCGTCAGAAGCCCTGTGAGTCCGGGCCTCTGGAAGTAAAAAATGTCGTGTGAGGTAGAGCCGGGCACCCGTGAAGTCATGTCAAAGATGCCGGCAAAGCAGCCGACCTTCCTGCTGGCATCTAGGGCCAGACAGCATGAGCCGGCGCCCACGCTACAGCACTCTGCAGAGACTGAGCTTGAGGGGCAGCATCAGCCGCGTGCCACCCGTGAGCAGGAACCACCTGGCTGACTCAACCGAGAGTGCAGAGCAGTGAAATTAGGAGGAGGAGCAACAGGAGAGGTCCAGGAGCAGACAGAAAGCTCAGGAAGTGGGGCCAGCGGGTCAGTGCGGCTGGGGGGAAGCTCGGACGCAGGCGGGCCGGCAAGGCACTCACCAGAACCACTTCAGAGGAGTGGGAGCTGAAGACCTCGTGGGTCCAGGTCTGGCCAGGCTCAGGGGAGCGGTCCCCCTTACGGTGCAGCTTCAGGCCCACGGTGTGGTGCCCCATGCAGCTCAGCAGCTGCGTCACCTCTCCCGACTGCAGGTTGTCGAAGTAGATGGTGGCACCCACAATCTGGTCCCCTGGGCAGGGAGGAACAGGGAGCAGGTCTCAGGGAGAGGACACACAAACACGTGTGCTCGGCACTCCAACTGACTTGCATTTCATGCATGGCATGACCATTCTGCAAGGCAGGCGTGGGGGCACCCATTATACAGAGGAGGAAACTGAGGCTTAGAGAGGTCAACTAATTTTCCCAAAGTGGCAAGAGCTCGTGAGTGCTGCAGTCAGAACTGAGGACTGTCTCCAGCCTCTTCCCCACGTAACCACCTCTCCTGGGGATCCTGAGCAAGTGGCAGACACACAGAGTGGACAAGAGAGGGTAGGGCTTGGGTACCGACCATCCTGATGGCACTGGGACCCAGCCCTCCACAACCACATGTCCACTTTTGCTTGCCCTCTGCCCTTCCCTCTGCCACCCTCACCCACCCCAACCCAGCCCCCCAGGCAACGCCCTGTGGTGACTCACCCTCCTTGACCACCCCAGTGCGGGCCGCAGGGGAATTCTGCACGACCTCCTGCACAAAGACGCCATCGTCCCTCTGGGCAATGGTCAGCCCGTGGGAGGAGCCACTGCCCTGCCAGTTGGGCAGCAGCAGCTCCCGCGTTGTCTCCTCCTCCTTCTCCATCTGGAACGAGGGAAGGGGATGAGTTCAAGACAACGGGGCACAAGGCACACCGGTCAGAGGATGAGAAGGCCGGGGATGGATCTTGGGTGCGTCTCCAAAGTGCCCGCTCCTGAGGCAGAGATGCCCCAAGGTGCGGCGAACAAGATGGAAGGGAGACGGGGGGATGCCACCGGCCTCCCAGGTCACCAGCCCCATGTTGCTCCCACCCGCCCACGCCCAGCTTCCCCGATGCCACCCAGCGGTCTGCACCCTCCCCGCCCCATCGCCTCCACCCCTCTCATCACCTTCCCTCCTACTCACCTTTTGCAGGACTCAGCTCAGGAGCGAATGCCTTGCCAGGAGCCCGCCCCTCCTTCCTGTCCTCTCCTCAGTCTCTCCGTGGGGGAGCTCGATCTCACAGCCTAGGGAGAAGTTCACACTGACTGCACGCCCTCAACAACAGCTTGCTGGAACCCCAACCCGTGGCCACGCAAGCGATGGCTGACGTTCTGTTCCCCGGGCCAGACCGAAGCCCCTGACCCTCGCTGTCATCGGTCCCATCCACTCGGGACTCACCAGCCTGGAAGCACGGAGACAGGTGAGAGGAGGCCCGGCTCAGCCTCAAACCCTGGCTCTGCGTGCTCCCAGAGGGGAGACCCCCGCCAAGTCCCCTCAGATCCCCGAGCCTCCGTCTCCTCATGTGTTACCATGGAGAGGATAAGGACTTCCATGAGGACTGAAGGGGAGAGACAGCGGGCCTGGAAAGATAGATCCGGGCACAGGAGCCCCCCGACACACACAGCCCCGAGAGGGTCTCCACACCGGCCTCAGGGGGGGCTGCCACTGCACAGACAGCGTGGCCGGCACTCAGAGGCCAGCTGGCCCCAGGCCCACACGCAGTAAGGAAGCGGCTGTCCCTGGGCACAGGCCGAGACCTGGACCTCCCTCCCCACACCCGGTCATATCTGCTCTGCAGGTGGCGACGGGCAGGCCTGCAGGCAGGGACGGTGGCGACGGTGACTCTGGGTCACCCTGTCTAAATCCGTCCTCAGGGACCAGGGGGACCCTTGCCAGCTGGGAGCTGCAGGAGCCCGGTCACACACAGGCGGCCACTGAACAAAGGAAACCCCAGCCCCCCACCCGCTGACCCACCCACCCCAGGCACTGGTCCCAGCCCGAGAGGCTGGCGTCCAGCGGAGCGGCCTCAGGGACGGGGTGAGTCAGGGCCCATCTGGCCACCCACGCTGGGCCCCGGGCCAGGCTCCCATAGGTGCAGGCACTCGGGAGCAAAGGCGTCCTCCGGCCGCAGGGTGAGCTGGCAGCAGGCGAGGTGCCCCGAGAGACCGCAGGTGGGACCCCGGCTCCAGTCACCGCCTACGGCCACCCACACAAAATGGCGGTGGCAGCGTCACCCAGAGCACGTCGGGGGACCTGGGGGGGAGGCGCTGTCAATCGAGGAGCACCTGGCCCGGCGCCCCACCCTGCAGCCACTGGCACACAGAAGTGAGTCAGCCAGTCGACAGACGTGTGCGTGCGGATCGCCTCCTGCACGTCCCGCTCCGCCCGGGGCCCCGCAGAGCAGAGCACACAGGGGAGGGGCAGCTCCGCTCGGCCCAGCGCCCACCTGCCACCTGACTGCACCCCCCGGTCCTCCACGGGCCAGACGTGGGGATGCGAAGGACCCGGTTCCCGTCCTGGGTACAGAACGTGAACAGGTGCTCCAGAAGGCTTGGGAGGCTTCCGAGAGGATGAAACCTAAGTGGGGTCTCCAAGGTGCTCGTTGGCCTCTCAGAAACAGGACTGTTCGTGGACACTCGCGGGCGCTGAGCATTTCCAGTGTCACAACACGGGGGAAAGGATAGCCCACGGACCCTCAGGCACCCGCCCGACCACCTGCACTCACACCTGCGGTATTTAAGATACTGCGGCTCCTCCTCGGCACAGGTGCTCCGGGAGGCCAGCAGGGCTGTGCCGGGGGAGCAGCCCGTGGGCACAAGTGTGAGCTGGGGCCACGCCTCCGCCCTTCCTCACAGGCAGACGAGGATGACGAGAAGCCACACGGACCCTTCCCCACCCACATGAAACGGGCAGAGCCGGAACTTAAACCGCGCCCCCTGCTGCGGCCAGCGCTGAGAAGCCAGCCCGCCCTGCAGACCAGGGCCGGGCAGGGCAAGGAAGGAAGAGGCCCGCAGCAGCCCGAGGGCTTCTCGGATCTCTGAAGCCGCTGATGGCCCTGGCACCTGCCTTCCTCCCGGAGGGGGGCCCCCCACTGCTCAGCCCAGCAGCCTGGTGCTGAGCCCGCAGCGGGCACAGGGGGAGCGCGAGCTCCCCCTCGCCCACATCTCGGCCCCACCCTCCCCTCCTTCCCCAATGAGTCACTGTGGCCACAACAGCCCCAAACATGCTAAGGGCAACACCTAAAAACCACCCGACAGAGGGTTCCACAGGCCAGACCCCCAGTGCCAGAGGGGCTGGGGCTCCAGTGGACACAGGCCGTCGGCTTCCCCGCCAGCTGCTCCCACGGGGCCCCGAGCCAGACACAGTGCTAGGGACAGAGGCCCTGGGAGCACAGCCGGGAGGCTCAGGAGGGGCTTGGATTTGCCTGGCCCCAGACTGCTGCTGAGGAGGGGAGACGGCCATGTGGAGTGGAGCAGGGCCCGCAGGCCGCGAGAGCGGGAAGCCCTGGACCCGGGGCCACAGGTTGGCCCTGGCAGAGCGCCACTGGCTTCCCGGCCAGCTGGGGCTGCCAGCCACCCTGTCTGCTCTGGCTGCACCGCCCACGGGCCCAGCCAGGAGGACTCCCCTCCCCTCTCATCTCATCCGATCTGGGCCACGCAGACCAGACGGCTGGACATGGGGGTCCCAACAGGGACTCGGGGCCACCGTGCCCAGGATGTGCTCTCTGCACCTGGGCCGCAGCCCCTGGTCTCTCCCAGCCCTGGAGCCTGCGCCAAGCCCTGCGGCTCCCCCTTCCGCCCACACAAGTCAGGAGGAGCCAGGCCACCCAAGGCAGGGTCTCCGGCGCTCCGGGGAGTTCCGTGCCGTGCACTCAGCCAAGCGCCAGAAGCCTGTGCAGCTGTGTGCCGCCAACCAGGCAGGCACAGGTGGCCATTTACGTTTAAATTAACTGAAATTATATTTAAAATCTGGGTCACTGGTCGTATCAGCCACATTTCAAGAGCTCAACAACCATACACAGTTACCATACGGGGCAGCACGGAGAGAGAACATTCCCGCCCCTGCAGAGAAGGCCACGGCACCACCTGGTATGTATTTGCACGTGGAGAGAGTGAGGTCCGCGGGTGAGGACAGGGGGGCGTGGGGCCCAGAGCCCAAGGCCAGCTGCCTGCCCCCTCCTGCCCACCCCAACACGGGCAACAGCACGGGCAGGGCTGCAGCGGGGCCCCTTGAAAGCGGAGGGGGTGGGCTGCTGGGGGGGCAGAAAAGGCCTGAGATGACGTTGAGGCCCCTCCCGCCGCCAGGCTGAGAGCACACGCGTCTGAGACTGCGAGACAGAGAGCAGTTCAGGCCCAAAGCAGCAAGAAGAATGAAGTCGTCCTGTCCCTTCAAAACCTCAAAGAGGAGGGGCAGAGCCCGCGCGGCCTCTGTAGATTGGGGACGACACCCGGACAGATCCAGGGAGAGGACTCCTGGCCCCGGGCAGAGGGCTTCCACCAGGTGTGACCTCCAGAGGAGCACCCTCCCCCAGCGCCACCCTGAGCACAGCCCCTTCGTCCCCACGGCCCTCGGAAGACAGCAGGGCGGGGCTGGTCCAACGCTGTCTACTGCTGCCACAGCCGGAGACCCACATGCAGCCAGCAGCAGCGTCAAGGGACAGGAACTGGTGCACACATGCGCACACACACACACACCCCTGAGAGGCAGGACAGGGCGTCAGTGCCTCTGAGCCCCCAACCTGGACACCAGACACACGCACCAGAGGAGCTCGCGTCGGCACAAGCACCCAGCGCCAGCTGGACACGAGAAGTGACCCTCTGAGGTCACAACGAGGAGGGCACTAACAGCGACGAAACTTCCCCCAGCAGCACAGGACACACACACACACACGTGAGCCAGCCGACCCACCCCACACACGGGGCTGGGAGAAGCAGCCCCCACACCAGGAGATGAAATGACTCACCGCCGGGTGGAGACCACCGCCAGAGGGAAAGCCCCAAACCCGTGTAACCAGGGCGACCGGGGTAAACAAGACGCCCAGAGGGGCGGCCGACTCTCACACTCACTCACCAGACGTCAAAGAGGAAGAGAAAGTCCCGCATGGAAAGAAAAGCCCAACCAGCTGGAAGAGGATTCCGCAGAGCTCCCAGGGCATGCCGGGCAGGCGCTGCTGGGGTTCCGCGCCGGGGGTCCCCCTCGACCCCCAGACAGCCCTCTGTGACTAAAAATTCACGTCCTCATTTTAGAGATGCGGAAACAGGCCCCAGAGGTGGGTGCCGTGCCCAGGCCCACGGAGAGGCCAGGATTGGCGGGCAAGCCCCGAGGCCTCCGACACCAAGGCCAGCAGTCTGTAGGCGGGTCGGGGACGAGGGCACATGCAGAGGCGCACACAGGATGAGAAACCACACAGCAAGATGCGCAAGGGAGATACACGGAGGAGAGAGACCTCCGCTGGAGGTGGGGCGAGGAAGAGCCAGGGGGACACACCCACGGGAAGGTGGGCCTCGTCGTGGTCCAGCGTGGGCACAGTGGACCCAGAGTGGGCCATGTCCAAGGCCTCCCTGAGGGGTCTTCTGGTGATGAGGCTTGTCGAGGCCATGTCCCCAGGGGTCAGAAGCCCTGAGCGGCCCAAGACCCAGCTTTCTTGGGCCCCAACACGTCAAGGCCCAGAGAATCATCCCCGTCCGGGGCTTGGGCAGCACAGGACCCGCAGAGCCGGGCCTGGGAGGGCGCGGCAAACACCTCCACTCACCGAGAAATGGGAACAGCATGGGGCAGGCAGACCCTCCTCCCGGAAGGACGAGGAGAAACCCGGAGGTGGGTCTCTTCCAGGGGCCTAAGCCTCCAAATGGACCCCCACGCACGCAGCTGGCAGATCTCGGTCTGGAAAAGCAACCAGGCCCCAGTCCAACTGGAGCAGACCTGCACCGCCATCGCCGGGGTCCAGGCTGGAAGCCTGGACTTTTACACTCGGCTGATTCTGGGGGGCGCACCAGCTGGGGGGCAAGGAGGTGGGGGACACCGGTGACCAGAATGCAAGGAGCCTGTTGAGAGGATGGACGCATTAGACCCACACCAGGGACAGGGGCACTGGAGAGACACGGGTCTCTGCCTCCCTCCACCTGTGTGCACCTGCCCATCTCACGGATCAGTACCTGGGCCACCGGCCCAGCCCACAACCCAGCAGGCGGACGTTTCTCCAGCCCCGGCCGGCCCTCACCATCACGCCAGCTTCCTGCGCCTGACTTCCAGGGCCTCCCCTCTCCCACCCCAGCCTGCCAGCTGCTTCTTGGGCTCCGCCCGGCCGCCGTGCCAGCCGCCATTCCCCACCTCTCCCCACCTCTCTCCTGCGGCCACTTCCCCAGTGAGCTCAGAAGCCAGTTCTCAGTTCTCACTCTTATCGGGGAGGGAGCTTCCCTCTGCCTCCCCTGACCAGGAGGGACTCTCCCTTCCTTGTGACAGGGGGCTGGGGGCAGCACTGCATCTGCCAGCAGGCGGTCCCCCCACACCCGGCCGCAGGGCCCTGGAGGCCTGGGCCCTGACCCAGAGCTGCTGGGATGAAGACACCAACTCTGTGGATGTCGCCCTCCACGGGAGGGGTGGGGAGGTGAAGAACTGGCTGGCTCTCCCTGGGGGCGGGGGGGGGGGGGGCGGGCGGGGTGCTTACAGCTCGGGAGCCGCCGCCCACCAGCCCTACCTGTGCCCAAATCAGAGCCCCCACCGGGGCCCAGCTCTCCACCCAGTGGTGAGGTCCCGCCAGTGCAGGGCCCTCGGCTGCCGAAGAGCTGCCCCCAGCCCAGCCAGGACGCGAGGCCCAAAGTCCGGATCAGCCCCAGGCACTTCCCCTTCCCCTGGAACCTCCGCTCCAGCCCCTAGGGACAGGGCAGGATGCCCCTCCCTGGCCGCCCAGGGCAGCGCCTTGCTCCGCTCAGCGGGGCCAGGCCTCATCCCCAGGGCTGTCCTTGCCCTCCTACGGGACCCCTGGACACAAACTCCAGGGTCCAGAACCCGCCCGGGATGGAGAAACTCACTTCAGTCCTTACCCACGGCCCCTGCGGTGCCCGTGAAACTTCCACCACCAGGGCGAGTCCCGACACTGCCCCCTGCCCGACAAACCCCAGACACCAGCCGTGGCGACACACCCAGGCCCAAGGCAATGCGGGGACCACCGTGGGCAGACAGAGGGACACCCTCATGCCTCGCTCTCTCTGCCGTGACACTGGCCGACGCAGCACACCCCAAGGCCACAGTGAAACCTCCACCCTGGACCCAGGACCTCCCGCTGCTGCGATGGCCCAGCCGGCCCCCTGATGGGAACAAAGGCCAGCAGGAAGCAAGAGGGGCTCCACCAAAACACACGGCCCTACTGAGCCCTGCCGTGCCCACCCTCGTGGCCCCGCCATGGGCCCTGGGAAGGCCCGTGGGCCCGTGGCATGGCTGGAACCTAGGGAAATGGCAGCCCCTGGGAGCCCGGGTGAGGCCACGGGAGACCCAGAGAGCAGAGGCCCCGGACACCGGCCGGCCACTGTAACATGCTAAACCCTCTCCAGTGGCCACCTCCCTTCCACGTGGTCAGCCCGGCTCCAGGGAGAGAAACCTGGGGGTGGCTGGGAGCGGTGGGGGAGGGCCAGCTGGGGCAGAGATCCTGCTAGGAGTCAGACCAGCTCTCCCAGTCTGCCCCTTTGTCTGTCCCCAGGCGGTTCCCAGGTTCTGAGGAAGGTGGTGACCACACCCAAGGCCCCACACACCCCTCCACCCCCACCGCTTCGCCGCAACCCCTCAAACCAGCTCCTCAGGCTCCGGGAGGAGCTCTGCCAGGGCCGTGATGAGCTCAATTCCAGGCTGAGCCAAAGGATCCAGCCTGGCAGTGCCCAGGCAGCACCACCCAGGGCCTCCCTGGGACCAGGGGGAACCCCCGGGGGGACCCCAGCTCCTCCCCTGTTCTTGACTGATGCTGGCCTCTTCCCTCACAGGTCTCCCACAGGTCACTGTGTCATGCCCCTGCCCGGGCCTCGGCCCCTGAACCCAGTCTGGCGGGTGCAGGTCCTGAGCACCATGAGGTGAGCTCTTCAAGGAGCCCCTTGAATCACGGACCCTTGGCTCACAGCTCTGGGCCTCCTCCTCTGGGTTGCAGCCCTAAGCTCGGAACGACTGACTTCTGTGGCTGCCCGTGGTCGGCGTTCTCTGAGCCCTGTCCCTCGGCATAACCTCTTAAGAGTGGGGTTTTAGGGATATCCTCCAATCTCCACCTCCAATCACCCCAGGCCCTCTGCCTGCCCAGCTCACACAGTCCCAGGCCCGTTCCCACCTTCCCTCACAGCTCACAGCTCACAGCTCACAGCAAGAAGGAGCCCCCCAAGCCCAGTGCTCCCTCGGCTCTCCACTCCCGCACGCGGGCCCAGCCCGTCATCCCAGGGCAAGAAGGAAGCTTCCCCATTCAGCTTCGAAAGGAAGTGAGTGCCACACCCTGCCCCAGGGGTTTCCCTCCCAGCGGGCAGGGGAAGAAGGGGGCGTGAAAGCAGAATCTACTCCCCTATTTTAGACCCAGCATAGGTGGGGCCCCTACAATGTCTCCCAAGGCATTGTCGATCTCCCTCTCTCCCCTGCACGTCCTAGCCCCCCCAAGGCATCCCTGCACCCCACAAAATCAGCCCAGCCCCTACCGTGTGCTCGTCTGTGTGAGGAGGGCCACGTGACCCCTGAAATCAGAGGCTACGGTCTAACACGGGACACTCTCAAAACCAATTATTGGGCGCCTGACGGTATGGTGGAGACACAGAAGTAAATATCTGGGTCACTTTCTCCCAGAAATTCCAGGCCATTCTCTAAGGACCCCACTTCCCAGGGGAAGACACCGACCTCCCTTGCCACAAATCCACTCCACAGAGCAGGGCACTCAGCAGCCACGGCAGGCTCCCTGGGGACCCCTGAGCACCACCACCACCTCTCGGCGGCCACACCCTGTGAAAGGCGCGAGCACACACATCCCACATAATTCTCTGCGGCCACATCGAGCAGAGGCGCCAGAGCCACCACCCCCACCTGGTGTCCAGGCCCAGTCAGAGCTGTGAGATGCCTCATCTGCCCACTCCAGTCCCCTCCCACGCAAGGGGCACTGCCGGTCCGGCCCAGACCCGACGGGTCCCTCCGGGCCAGCGTCGCCAGGGAGCTGCGCCCCCACATCCCCTGCCCGGCACTGCAGGGGTCGCCCAGCCCCGTGAGGGGAGGGCCAGTCCCTAGCACACTGCACACCCTCTCGCGGCAGGGGAAAGCCTTACATAACACAGTTCGAACACACCCTAAGCACGCTGCCTTTCCAACTCCGCCGCGGGGACCTGGCCCCCGGGCCCTCTCTCCTGGAGCGCACCTCGCGTCCGCGCAGGGTTGCAGGGAGCGCAGCTCGGCCCTCCTCCAACGCCGAGCACGGCTCCAGCCCCCAACTCCCACACACAGCCCCTTCCTCCTCCCCTTTGCCCCCCACCACTCCTCCCGAGTTCTGGTTTGAATTAGTCACCGGCTCCAACCACCACATTCCTCAGGCTGCTGGCGCCAATCCAGGCGCTGGGGCGGGGGCCATCCCGCCCGGACGGGTTTGGGAGTGGGTTGGGGGACAGAGCACCGCCTCCGGGGGAAGGGGCGGTCCCAAGGGCGGTGCCGCCGCGCTGTCCCCCCCCTTCTCCGCCCACCCCAGTGCAGGAATCTCCCTAATTATGTCCCCCACCCCCACTCCCACCCGTCCCGCAGGGAGGCGCGCTGCAAACTTGCAGGCTCCCCAGCCCTAAAGGAAGAAGGGAGTTTTCGGGATGGGGTACACAGAGGAACAAGGCTAGGGTGCGGCAACTGGAAGGGGGTTGGGGGGCAGCCAGGAGCAAGTGAGAGGGAGAGGCGGGTGGTACAGAATTGGGTGGGGCCGGGAGGGCCGGGGACGCGGAGTTCGGGGTGGAGGTGTGGGGTAACGGGAGGGACAGGGGCAGGGGCGTCCGGAGGGGCCAGGGGGCCGCGGCAAAGATCTCGGAAACTTCTCCTGTAAACAGGGAATAGGACCGGATCAGCGCGCCCAGCCACCGCCCCACGCAGAGGGAGGGGGTGGGACGGGGGCCACCAGGCCAGGAACGCGGCGCCCTGACGTGCAGTAGGGCCAAAAACCAGCCCTCGAAAGAAATACGGACCGGAGCAAAGCACGCTTTGGAGCAACTTGCCAACTTCGCCCAACTTGCACCCCAACTCCCGAGCCGGAGCTCGGCTCCCAGGGCGCGACAGCCCCGGACTGCCCAGCTTGTTCCAAACTGTTTGAATCCTCCCAGTGACACCCACCGAAGTGCCTCGCCCAAGCCCTGCACCCCACCTCCCTTCCCCGCTCCCGGTGTCCGGTTTCCGGACCGCGCCTCAGTGCGCCGGGCCCTTACCTGAGCGCTCAGCCCCGGGGCACAGACATAGCCCGCGCTGGGCCGTGGTCGCGGTGCTGCGGCTGCTGCAGGCGTCGAGCCCCGGTCGGGGCGGGTCCGGCAGGGCGGGCGGTGCAGTCCCCGCGGCGGAGCTGCTCCGAGTGGCCGGGCCCCCGTGCAGGGAGGCGGCTCTTGTAACTCCGGCTGGGGCGGGCGGGTCTGCCCAGAGCTGTGGGGAGAGGGCGGGGCCGGGCGGGGCCGCAGTGGGGTTGGGACCAGCGAGCTGGGCCGACTCTGCAGGGACGCGGGAGCGGGCTGCTGGGGGCGGGGAGGGTGGGAGTGGAGGGGAGAGACCTGGGGACAAGGGGGCGCATGTCCGAGATGCTACCTACCCCCGCCCCCATCCGCTGCCCCCTGTCCCGGCCCGAGCCTGGGACTGCCACCAACGAGTGCACTGTGGGGCTTCTCCCGCAGGAAACCCGTCCCAGCTCGCCGGAGCTCATCCACCCAGCTGCAGCGGGGAATCAGAACATTTTCCAGGAATGAATAAGGGGTTCAGAAAGGCGTCTGGGGAGCTTGGGCGGTTCAGCTGCGACCTCCAGACTGACACTGACCTTTCGAGATTTTTCTCAGCACAGGCAACTGCACTTGAAATCCTAGGCCTCAGTCTCCTCACTTGGCTCCCAAGTTCCATGCAGACGCGCCCCTTTTTCATCTTCCCTCTTTCTGGGGGCCCCCTCCCCCCTCCCCCCACAGAACCGGCTTGGAGACCCTGCCGCACCTCTCAGAGCCGGAGTCACCAGGGCCGGCACCACTGCCGCAGCGGCGCGGGAGTCAGGCTTGCACCCCTCGGCCCCAGCTGCCCCCCTTTCTCCAGACCCCCGGCAGCAGCCGGGAAACCGTGCTCCCGCGTGCCCTCCACCTGCCCATTCCCTCTCCGAGCCCCTCCCCCACCTCCCACTTGCTGGACGCTTTGTCTCCAAATTTACAGTCATTTCCCACAGCCACTTCGAACTGCATGGAGATTTTATTAAACGCTTAATGATAGGGTGCGGGGTCCTTCTGCCTACACCCACCCCCTTCCACACCCCCATTCCTTCTCCCCCAGGAATCCTCTATCCTCCCTCCTAGCCGCCACCCACCGCCCACGTCAGGCCAGCTTTCCTTCCTTCCCCAGTGCTGCAGAGGGGAGACCCCAGGCTGGGGACCTGAAAAGACCCCCTCCCCCTGGGCAGGAGCACCCTCCTTGCTGCAAGATCGTGAGTGGGCTGGGGCTGAGACCAGAGGCCCTGTCCTCTGAAATGGCAAACATGTTTACAGGCTAAAAATACCCAGCAGCCAACTCTGCTGCCAGCCCTGGGGGCTGTGTCCCAGGTCCAGTTACCCACACAGGGTGCAGGCTGTGGGGGAGGGAAGAGACGGCCGAAGGAGACACAGACGTGCAGACACTCATCATGGGCCCAGAAAGGTGGAGACACGTGGAGACACTCAGGCAGGCACGGACACGCAGAGGCACAGGGAGAGAGCAGAGAACTAGGCACCGGCATTTCCTCTGTTTTATTGTGTGTGTGTGTGTGTGTGTGTGTGTGTGTCTCTCTGTGTAACGCACACACACCCAGAGCGCGACCTAACCCCACAGACAGGCAGGCCCGCACCAGAGCACGCACATCACAGCACGCAGTGCCGGACCAGAGACTTCCTGGGGGAGTCTCCCTATTTGGTTCTGCACCCCTTTCCCAGCGCCTTCCTGATCTGAAGACGCACAATCTAAACTTCACAACGTTGGGTTGCTTTAAAAAATAATCATAGAAAGAAAAACCAAGAGCCAATGATGTCCTTTACCAATGGCTTTTCGATTTTTATTCCCTTTACCGTGTACTCAGCACTTGAAAGGCGAATCGAGGATACAGAGAAACTGAAGCAGGCTGTGACGCTGTAAGTCAGCTAACCCTTGTTGATGTCTTTTAAATAAAATCAATAATAACAGGGTGGTCAGTGGAATATCATTTAAAAGAAAAGTAAATAAAATCAACAGTACCTCCATATGGTGAAGAATGTCAACAGGGCGGCAAGGCCGGACAACACAAACAGTGCCCCCCCTGCTCCCCACCCGGTGCCCCTCCGGCAGGCGCACTGTGAGTAGTTCACCAAAGGACTTTTCACTTGATGGCATGACTCATTTGCTTCCCTGACAATGCACGTTCTCCCTGTGCCCAGCAAACACGGGAGCTGCTTTCTACCCAGGTTCTCACCTGGGAAAGATAGTTACGGCGCAACTCGGGCCAGGAAGACGTAGATACGGTATCTGCAAAATGAAGGGCTCCGGGAGGGGCCCCTGGGAGGGAGGGGCCAGAGCAGGAAGGCAAGAGTGGGGAGGGTGTGGATGCTGGTGTGGGTGTGGCGCCCTCACCTCTGCTAGGGCCCCCCAGGAGCCAGAGAGCAGAGGCTAGTGTCCCAGGCTCAGGGCCAACTTATCAGCTCCATTGTTTGCTCTGGCCGGCCTGCTGGTCAACAGGGAAGAAGGCAGGACAGGCTGGTTTTGGGAGCAGCCGCAGAATAGTGATTGCTGTCCAGGTAATCCATTCACTGGGGCTGTCACTGCCAGGTTGGGGTGGGGTGGGGAGTCCCGGGGACTGGCTCCTCCCGGCCTCCAGGCTAGAAGCTAGAGAGGGGTAACCAAGACCCTGCCCCCTAAGAAACCGTGACCTTTCCTGCTGCAGCCAGAGCTGGGGTTTCCTAGGGCAGCCCATTATATAGCCCAGGGGAAGGGAGTATTTTCAACAGGTTTTTTTCTTTCCCTCAAGAGTTTTCAATGATGCCATTGAAAATACACACTTAGACATGTCTGCCAACCCTCTTCTGCCCATTGCTGTCGCGGCCCCCCCACCCCCACCTCACCCCCAAGGGACGTGCACGGTGGTTGTGTCTGACACTGCAGAAGGCATTTTCGTGTGTTAGTTCATCTAATGGTCTGGGGTTGCCTCTGGGAGCGAACGGTCTCGGAGAGGGTTCGTGATTTACCTGCAGCCGCACAGCTCTCAGAAGCAGGGGCCACAGCTCTCACTGGCTCCTGAGCCCCACGAGGGCAGGGGTATCCCGTTCTCCCTGTGCCTAGAGCAGTGGCTGGCATGGAGCACTCCCTCAGGATTGCATTGTTGAGTGAATGAATGAACTTTTCGCAACAGTATCCTGTGCCCCACACCCCCCCCTCGGTCTCAGCTCCCCCTGCCCATATCAGTCCCCCCACTTGTAGACTTTGATGCCGCTGCACAAACATTTCCCATGGCCCACGCCACCGGCGCCTGTGGTGCTGTGGTGGTCCAGGAGACAGACAACCTGCAGGATAATGAGTCCTTTCCGTCCCAATGCTGCAAAGAAAAGCTCTGTCCGGGTTCAGATTCCTCCGTCAAAATAAGGGCTGTCCAGGAATCCGGGAGGACTTCAGCCGACCCGGTGGCACTCCGCCCCTCCCCCCCCCCCAGCAGAGGCAAAGTCCCAGACCACGGTCCTGCAGGCTCCCTGGCAAAGCCAGGTGAGCTCCAGGACTTGTCGTCACCGGGATCCCCCAGCTTCCTCCAAGGGCTCTCCCTCGGGGCTTCCCTGATGTGTACAGTAGTGTCTGAACGTGGACTCCCGTTGCCCAGCGACCGTGCCTGTTTTGTTCCTATTATGCCCGTTTCCACAGCAACCAGAAAGGGGCGTTCTGTGGGCAAGCCCCTTGCCAGGGGATTCCCCTTCCGCTCCCTCCTGGCCACAAGTCCCCTTCTTTGAAACCGGTGGTGCCTTACAGAAAAGGAAAGACGTTGACAGTTCAAAAAGCGATCGTAGTTTTCAGGCTTCGATCTCAGAAAGGAAGTGAAGTGTACAGTGTGTTCGAGGTCCCTTTGGCATGGCCACCTTAGCGGCAGAGAAATGGGCTGGCCGTCAGCCCTTCCTGGAGCCGTCGGGGGTGGCCCAGACCCCACCTCCACCCAGGCCCTTCTCCTTTCAGTCCACGGCTTCCTAACTGCCATCCTCCTCCGCGGGTCAGCCAGCCTCCTGGGTGATCCTGGGACCCGAACAGTCTTATTTCCTGAGCAAGTGGCAAACCCCGGACTCCTAATCCCAACTCAAAAGTCTGACGCCAGGTGAAACCACCCTCCTCCAGTTCAATGCAAATCCCAGGCTGTCTTTAAGGCTCAGGTTTCAAACAAGGAGTTCCTGAATTACTCAGACCAGACAGTCAGGATACCGGCACCTCCCTGTCACACTCGTCCTAAACCAAAGTCTTCAGCCCCAAACAGGGCCCAAGTCCCAGCTGCTTAGAGAACTAGAGCCAAGCCAACGTGCTCTGAGTACGGACTCCGTGGGGGGAAAGGAGGCAAGGAAAAACTGTCAGGCCCAGGGCGAGGGGACAGAGGTGGGCGGGGAGAGCAGGGCAGGTGGCCACCCCAGGCCTGGTTAGAGTCCAGGCAGCAGCGAGAGGCGGCCTGGAGGCTGGTGAGTCACGGGTGTGGGGATGCTGCTGTGGGAGCAAGAAGATAATAGGAAACGTGGTCCCGAGATTAAGGAAAAGAAGCTGCAAGACACGACTGAATAACGCTGTGTGAGGAGGGAGGGAGGGAGGGAAGGAGGGAAAAAAGAAGAGCTCCGAACTGGCCTGGGGACTGGGCCGACCAGCTTGTAAACAGGAGTCGAGGGAGGGAGCTGGAATGATCGGAGCAGCCAACGCCCGGCCGGCTCCCTCCCCGGCGGGGCGCAGGGCGCAGGGCGCGGGGAGGGAGGGGCCCAGACAGGGGAGCACCAGGCCCCGTCGCCCCTTTTTCGGATTCTGCCTTTCTCCCCTCTTTTCCAACTTCCCCTGCCTTTCCCCCCGAGTTCCCCGGGGTGGGGGGAGGGGAAGGCAGATCAGCCCAGGTTTCCCTCGGTCCGGAGCTTACACTTTCCAAGTCTGGTTGAAGGAAATCAGGCCGAGCAGGGAAGGAAGGGCCTAGGCTGCTCCGTGCCTGAGTCACCACATAGTTGAGGTTCCTGTTACTGGAAGCCCCGCCTCCTCTGCACCCTGTGCCCTCTGTCCGCCCCAGCCCCAGCCCCAGACCTCGGATCCCTAGGGGTGACCCTGCCCCAGGCCTCGCCCCTCTTCCACGCTTCTGACCCCAGCAGGGGCTGCCGGGCTCTCTGGGCAGCCCTCAACACAGCCGGGTCCCCGC